CAGTTGTCTTTTCCACGGTCGTCTTTGCAACAGTCTTCTCCCCCTTTTTCGCAGTTGTCTTTTCCACGGTCGTCTTTGCAACAGTCTCCTCCCCCTTTTTTGCAGTTGCCTTTTCCGTGGTCGTCTTTGCAACAGTCTCCTCCCCCTTTTCCGCAGTTGTCTTTTCCACGGTCGTCTTTGCAACAGTCTCCTCCCCCTTTTTCGCAGTTGCCTTTTCCACAGTCTTCTCCCCCTTTATCGCAGTTGCCTTTTCCACAGTCGCATTTGCCACAGTCTCCTCCCCCTTTTTCGCAGTTGCCTTTTTCACAGTTGCCTTTTCCACAGTCGCTGTTTCCGCAGCCTCCTTTCCCTCCATCTCTTTGAGTTATTGTAGCTAAACGGTTAGCGGTGAGTGTCAGTAGAGCTCTGCCAACTCCAACATGCTTCTTTCTCTGAAAACACAAGCATTTATAACTGTCAGGTAAGGTAGAACAAAGGTGAGAATGAGGGTTAATATTTACTTGAAATATTATTTTGTACAGTTACATTAGAAGTACAACTACACAACTATAAATTGGATGGACTTCTGTAATTACCCGTCTGTTGTTCATTCCAAACAAAATGTAATTTTGATCACTGGGTTTAAAGCCTAAATCTTTATCACAAGAAGCAGATATATTCAGCACCACTTCAAGAGAGGAGAAGATGTTCCAAACTCTGAGTTTTGCTTCTATAGAACCTGTAGAAAAACACACGGAAAAATCAATGAATCAGCAGTAGAATCTGTAAATATTCATGTTTCAGACATTTTGACTGACATCAAATTCGGGTGGCTGTAGCTCAGGAGGTAGAGCAAGTCATCTACAGTCCTAATTAGAAGGTTGGTGGTTTGATCCCTGGCAGCTCCAGTCTGCATGATACCAACCCAATGCAACCATCAATGTGAGTGAATGTGTATGAACATAAGTTGTAAGTTGTAAGTTGTGTAAAGCACTTAAAGTGCTTAGGCAGAGTAGAAAATGAGATGCATTAACACTATGGAATACCTGTGTTATCAGTTTCAAAATACTATATCGCCTTATTCTTAGATTATCATTCACAAGATTTTTGGAGAATTTGATCTTTGACCTCGAGGTTGAGGTCACCGAGATTCGAACTTGTCTGAGACTTTTAGTAGATACACCTATGATATCAATTCGAACCTCCTATGTTGCTTTGTTCTTGAGTTATCACATTCACAATCTTTGGTATTCATGATGCCCGCCCACCTGGCAGAGTGACAACAATACTTTAATGCCTTCAATTAGCCTTTTATGGCTGAGGGGTAAAATGCACTACATAAGAAGCAGTCCATTTACCATTTACATTTTAAAGCTCACCTTGAATTGGGTTTTCAGTTTCAAACATTTCCTTTCTGGTATTCATTTGTCTGGTTTCAGTGAACAAGCCATTGTTTCCAGAAAGAGAAAACAAGAGCATCACAGGCTCTCCTCGTACAAGGGAAACATCAAAAGTAATAAATGGGGAATCTAAACATTCATTGCCCGCTGTCAACACAGACGCCTGAAGTCCAACTATTTTCTCCAGAACACACACCTGTGGGATAAGCAGAATTACAAAGCAGAGGAACACATTAATTAGATAACACATTAATCCGATAACACAATCTGGAAATTAGTGTTTACTATGAAAATACATTAAAGATACATTAAAGATACATTAAAGATACTCTACAAAGCATTTTAATTCAATAAGAAATTGTCTGATAAAGAAAAATCTTGACATACTAAATTGTGACTGTCTATGGGAAGAATAAAACTGTCATGGTCTGGGTGAGTGCGGGGTTTTTCCACTCTGCTGGGCTCCATGTTCAGGCGGAGACTCCAATCAGCCTTCACACCTGATTCCAATCAAGTCACCAGCATATAAGACCAGCGCTCACAACAGGCCTCTGCCAGATCTACAGCTAACGCACTACCCGCCTGGGCGTTACGCTTCTCAAACTGAACTATCGCTGTCTGGATGCTGGTTTCCTGATATCTGGTTGTAACCCCCTCCATCATGGCACTTCGCCTGCCTGCCTCCCTGCCAGGCCTGTCGCTATAAGTGTATTCCAGACCCTCCTTGGACCTCTTGCATGCCACTTTCACCTGCTACGTGTAAGCCATAACCATCATAGTTGAATCCACCGACTGACATTCACTAGACTGCCACTGACTGCCTGTCTCTTCTCGTTATAGTGACTCTGTGTACCTCCACCCAGGCCGCTGCCCCTTCTCCCTCCCCAGGATCTGGTCACGAAATCTAGCATCTAGTCTAGTGTGTGAATGGGTGGATAACTGGACGTGTAAAGCGCTTTGGGGTCCTTAGGGACTAGTAAAGCGCTATACAAATACAGGCCATTTACCATTTAGTCATAGCACACAGTCTGAGCTCCATGTTCCATAGTCTGGCCTCTTAGCCTTCACAGTCCATAGCCTACATTATTTCCTGCTCTGTAATTAAACTACGCACTGTAAATAAAGCACTGTATTCACGCCAGTTTTCCTCCCTCTGTGTCTGCATTTGAGTCCACACTCACCGCCTGGCCCTCTCGGCCGTAACAAAAACCTCCGATATATTTCCAGAGTTTTTGTGCCATGCAAAGAAGAGCAGGTGAGCTGAGCTTCCTGTTTACGGAGGTTAGTTGGCAGCTGAGTGACATCAGAGCTTGTGGCTTAATTTTGATTAAACTTAGATCAAAGGCACATTTTCACACTATGTTCCTTGACTTAAAATGACTGATTACCCTAATGGGGACAGCAGGATGACTTTTAAATTCATAGTTGGTATGAAAAAAAAAAAAGAAATAATTGTGAATTAAATTGAGAGAGATGCCCTCATCTTCCCAGATATTTCCCTAATTATCTTAAAGAAGTTTTATAATTAAAGGTTAAATTTAATTAATAATTTTAAACAGTCTAATTTTTCAATCAGTACTGAAATTCTTTATTCATATGATCACCATGCTCAATAGAAACCTGGGGGTGATACATCATTGTTTTTGTTACTGTTGTACTAAAAGAAGACTATTAGTTTGATTTACTGTACCTGCAGGTCTTTGGACACTTCAAGGAATGTGACCGTGTTAGACGCATAAAGTGTCAGATGGTGGCAGCCAGACCCGAGCTGCGTCACTATTTCTGATGTTACTGTGACGTTCTGGGGTTCTGTTCCTCTGACCGCAGATAAACCGGACAACGACTTTTCATCAGCTTCGATTCTGTAGGTCACATTTGTACCTAAAGAATAGAAAACAAATAAAACTTAAACGACAGTAAAAGTCAAACATGATTTCGGGAAAAAAACAAATATATGCTCAAACTAAAGCCGAGGCTGTTATGTAGAGATATCAAAATTTCAACTTAATTATTTGATATTAGGTTCACTTTGGTACCTACCTGCTTTTACTTCCATTTGAATCTGAAAGGCTTCTCCATACAGGGCTTTGCAGTTGGTTTCATAAAAAGACAGGTTTCCAGCATAGCACTTGATAACACCGATCTCTGCAACAGGCTCTTGAATCGTAATTATTTTCTGAGCTTTAATGTGCATTTCACTGCAAGTGCATTCAGCTGCCACAATAAAGGTACCTGGGTGAGTGTATTTGTGCACCACACTGTTCTCCAACCTGAGGAAATTCAAAAACAGGAATCAGCGTGTTCGTTTGAGTAACACTATTTCAGATATGTCACACAACCATTAAGTGCATCAAAATCGAATTAAACAAACGGCCATTAGCATCAAATGGTTTTTAATCCCAGTGTAATGGTGTAATGCGTCATAAAAACATTACACCTTCCCTGACTCTTAAGTCTTTAACAAATTGTTGTCTGATATCACTGAAAGACTTTGGTATTTTAGTTGTAAGTGCAAATTCAAAAGATGTTGCATGTGCTTGTTCACAACTGAACAACAACACTGAACCAGTGGTCACTCCAGGAAGATCTCTATTCCTGACTCCAGGGTGAGTTTGCTGGTAGTCAAAATCTGGGGTGATGCACTAAAAATCTTCTCGAGGTTGCCATGGATTGCTTGCAGATCACCACAGTTACCTGCAGACTGGAGCGACTCACCAGCTACTCGCTGAGTACAAAGTGCCCAGATCCCATGGGTGCAAAACAAGCCCAAATCATCAGCCTTCCAACACTTTGCTTGACAGCTGGTAGGAGGTGTGAGGTCCTGATATGCTGATATATGTTTGGGCTCTACCAAATGGGTGGCTGTGCATTGTAGCCAAACATCTCCAATTTGGTCTCATCTGGTCAAAGAACATTGTTTCTGAAATTTTGCGGTTTGTACAAACATACTCCGTGCTGCCATGTATATATGCAGGATATACTGCATTTTTCACAGGCCTGTATGAGTTTGTGTAATGTTTATCATGGCCAAACAAATCTAATTTGTGTTTATAATTACCTTCTTGGTTTTGTTT